AGTGTGTAAGAGTGTGAGTGGCTCAGAACACTTTTTAGTTTTGCTTTTTACATTTGTTGTGAAAAACAGCCAACTTCATTTCAGTTTTTGAGTCTTTCCATTGATTCTCAAATGGATTTAGGTGAAGAATTTGACCAGGAGATTCAGAAAAATTAAAATCCTTTGATACTACCTTAAGTTGTTATGAAAATGGCAACATTGTAGCCAACATTTGATGCCTTGAAATTGGGCTGCTGTCTCTTTAAGAAGCCCTTACCTCTTTCTGACACACCCTTCAGCTTCATCACAACAACTCTCCTCCATGATGCCGTTTCAACAGTCCTTACAGCGTCGGCCTGAGAACTAGTCAACACTCACAGATATGCAGTTCCACCAGGTTGCTGCTGCCACTAGTCTGAAGGAGCAGAGTGGGTCAGGACTGCTCTGTGAGGCAGAAGCTCTGCTGGAGACTGCAGCTCTGAGGAGGAGCTTTGTGGAAATAGGCGGAGCTTTGTGAGTGTAAGCATTTAGGCACCATGATGGGTTGCCATGGGAGATTCAAGGATTCCTCTAACGTGGAAGAAACAATCAAAGCAAGACGGGAAGTATGTTTATGATGAAGTGATAATATTATGACTTATAAAGATCAAAAATGTTGATTTTCCATGATATCCCCTTTCAGACCAGACTAACCATTTTCTTTTAGGTAAAGTTTCTAGACAGGATGAGCTAGCTTATGCTGACCTTACAGTAAAGTCAATGCTCTTGTGTGAAGTCAAGATGTAGTAGTGATAAATGGGATTTTATCATCCACACAATTTCTGTTGCATCATAATTAGATAAATATGAACTGTTTTTCTTATAACAAATTTGACTTGATGTCAAAAAGCTGATTTAACATAATGATCTTCTTTAAGTCTTTTGCAGCCGCCAGGTGCAAAGCTTTGTGTTTGGCTCCATTCATCTGTCCCTAACGTGCGTCTGGGGAGGAAGAATATCCTCAGTATGATGCTGCCACTACCATGTCTTCCCAGACTTCCTCCTTTTTCACAACAATGGCTTTCTCCATAAAGCCACATTTCTGAAGTGAATTACTACTGGTTGTCATCTCAAGAGATTGTCTTCAGCTCTGCTTTCTAAAGACAATTGGATTTATTTGCAGGTCTCAGAGTAAAGCAGACTGAATAAAAAACATGCCACACTTTTCAGATAAATCATTTATCATTTTACACCTCACATTTATGGTAGCAAAGTGACACAAAGTGACACAATGTGGCACAGTTCAGAAAGCACAAATAGTTTTTCATGAACTGTTCAGTTTGCTGTGTCCAGTAAACTCTGACTCTGGTTTGTCTTCATCCAGCTGGAGAAGTGAGCTGCCCTCACTTTCAGTTAAATAGAAGAAAAGGTTGCAGCTTCCTGATTCTTTCTAATTACTGCATGGAAACACAGAGCAGAAAATCTGACTATTTCACTAATTCATTATTTTAAAATTCTTCTCAAAATGATGATGCTACACCGTAAAAATAGGACCAGAAAGAATGATCACCCTTAATTCTCACCTCTTATTTAATCAGTACTGTGAAACCAGAAAGAAGTGTGACTTCCCCTGGAAGCAGGTGAAACAGTCAGTGCTGCTTCATGGGAACCAGAGAATCAGAGCACGACTCCAGCACTGAGTGTGAGGAGGAGGCTGCTGCTGCTGCTGCTGCTGCTGCTGCTGCTGCTGCTGCTGCTGCTGCTGCTGCTGCTGCTGCTGCAGATGTTCTGTGTCTGGATCTGGGTGAAAGGTCGCCTGCAGAGCTGGGAGAAGACATCTTGGGAAATTGGATCAGGATCTGTGGTGAGGTGTGGCTGTGCGCTCTGTGTGTCAACTACCAGAAAGATCTCTCTCACACACACACACACACACACACACACACACACACCCACACACACACACACACACACAGTGGTCTAGTCTTTTGAAAAGCCCAACCACTGTTAGTATATGAACCTGATGAGCAAACTGAGATAATTTTCCTCTTTTATACATTTTGGTTCAAGGTTCAACCTGAGATATCTAAATCTCTGATACAAACATGGCTGTGATCTGGAGCCCAGATCATCACGCCCTCACCACCGTGCTGAAGTGCTGCTCTGAGCCTGCTGAGTTGCTGTGGCATCTTGATTGAGTTGCACCAGATGCCATATTGTCTTGTTCTTTATGACCTCTGGAACCCAGTGGTGTATTTGCATATTTCTTTCCAAAGTTTTTTTTCCTCATTGTTGTATTTCTAATTGCTCAGAAAGAGACAAATAACCTTTACCAGACTGACAGGAAGCAACAGTCTTTTTCTGATGCTCACATCTGAACGCTCCAAAGCAGCAAACAGACACAAGTTCTGAAAATGTTCTAATCGTCTAATAGGCCAAATCCAGCTGATGTTCTGTCACTTCACTCCACTGGAAACACAAATGCTGAATTTCCTTTCTCAGCAATGGCTGGGCGTATTAATCTAGATATCCATGGTACTGATGCTGAGGAGAGTCCTGATATTGGATCCAAAGCGAGTGTGATGGGGTCAATACACTGTTAACAGTTTCTCTTCTATATATCGAGTGTGTTAGTTAGCTTCCTCACAGAGATCATGCCGGTTCATATGCAAGAATTAAGATGCCCAACATGAAGAGCTTTTACTTTTAATGTGAGAGCAGGAATTCTTTTAATGTCTGCTTTCTTTCAAATACAGTCTGGTTAATTCCTCCAAAAGTTTGATTATTATCTAATCATCTTCAAACTATGTGCTTAGTTCCCTGAAAATATGAATGCGTATTCATATGTGAATACACATTCACAAACATAAACCATTGAAGGAAAATAGTGTTTTTATTTAGGTTAGATTACAGTTACAGTTCTTAAGAGGTAATAAAGACAGACTAACTATAACAGAAAACAAAATAATTTCTCCTGTGTTTTATAATAACAATAATCAACTAACTGAAGTCAAATCACCAATTTATTTGATGAGAAAATCTTTCGTCTGGGAGCAGCTGGAGTAGAAGCCCAAACCTCAGAGCTCACCTTTCACCCACTTAGCCTGGGCTGCAGGCAGCAGAGGGTTAACTGCTCTCTTTGTGGTCTGATCACACAGACTGGACCGCTGGCTGCCAGGCGGAGACTGCCAGACTCCCCCTGTCTTTGCTGCAGCATGGCCGCTCTGTCTGCTGTGAACTTTCCCCTAATTCTCACAGTCTGCCTGAACGTAGGCACTCTGCACCCCCTCCACATTCATGTCTCACGTCATCAGAGGGGGATGATAAGGAAACCCTCACATTGACGCCGGGCAGTATGAATATAGAGGACAGTAATACTGTTTTAGTATTTCCAGCCCCAAATCAGTCAGACTTTCCATCGTTTGCTGGTTCCAGCTGCAAAAAAGCTGCATTTTCAATCAGAACTTTGTGGCTGATTTCAGGTTTTTAGAGGTTTTTAGAAGCTTTGACCTGAAATACAGATTTCAGTTGATATAAAAGGACAGCACTGAAATCCTTTCTCTAGCCTTGTTGTTAAAACCCATTCTGGAACTGAAAAGTCTCATTTATTTCAGGAACTTCATCACAAAGTGAAGCACATCATGTGATTTAAATACACAAAGATGGGTGTTAGAAAGCCTTTATCTATTATGATTTTCCAAGTACAGTTAATGATAACATTTAAAATTAGAATATTACATCAGACCAAGGCCTCAATGAAATGTATCTGATTATTACATGGCTGGTTGTCCATTTTCAAAAGGTTCTTTTAATCTGACAAATGAGCTTCATCAAAAATGATCATGTATTAGGAAGAGAAAAATATGAAACAGTTTAGTTAGAACTGAGTGCAGCATCTTTCATTAGCAGTGAGAAAAGACCTGAGATTCTCAGTAATTTGGGGATGGCAGCATTCTAAGTCTTGCCATTTCTAACCCAGCATGTTCTCAAAACAATAAAGAACAGCTTTGCTGAAATACATTCCCATTTCTATTATCTCCTGACAGTCTTGTTTTCTTTAAAACAGCTTATTTTTCTTACTTTATTAAATTGCTACTTAAATACTTTAAATTGAGTCTTCCTCTCTCTCTCAGCATCTGCACTGAAGAGTATCACCTGTTAGACATCAGCAGCTGTTTCCTCCTCACATCTCCAGGTCAGATGATGACAAGTTGACTGTCTCTGTGTCGTTGAGTCAGAAATGAACTGATTCAAAGAGTGTGTTTAAATTTTCAAATGCGCTGCTACTCTGGATACTCTCTGAATCAAGAACAAACAGGTTCTAACCAGAAATGCATCAGAAGCAGACATGAAGCCGTCCTGTTTAACGTTTTGTGGTTCTCGTGTTGTTTTCTGTCTTCTTGATATTTGGAGGTGGTGAAGATCCAGTACATACTAGAAATGATCACTGGAAGCACTTCTAATGTTTAGATATACGTTCATCACCTACTGGAAATAGAGTAATTCCTTGCATGGCTTCTTTTTACTTGAACTTGAGTAGTAGTTGAATATGCTGTGGTCGTGCTTCTGTCCCCTGAAGGTTTCTCATCCTTCACTGTTTCATCCTGCTGCCAGCATGCTGCTCTTATTCAAAATAAAGATAAGGTGGCAGAAAACGCTGATAAGATTAGTTATTCTAAATGTTTGTGTTTAAGTGACCAAAGTTTCTACTGTGAGTCTCAAATTTTCCTCAGGAATGTTCCTGACCAGTTTCAGTTGCGATGTTGTTTCTCCTCTGGCTCATCGTGTTCTGACATTTCTAAAGCTTTTGATGAACTACAGATTTCATGCTCAGTTGTGGTGAGGTGGCTCTTCTCACAGGAGGAAGGACAACGGTTTGACATCAGCTGATAGAAGTGATCTTTTGCTATATCATCTCCTTCCTTACACATCAATGGTTAATATGGAGATGGAGGAGGAACAGAAATCTGAGAGCAGCTGCACTCCTCCCTCTGCCCAGCCGGCCAATGGCAGGCAGCAGCACGGCTCACACCGCAGGGCTGGGAAAGTATAAAACAGCAGAGCTGTGTCTGTTCATCCAGGAGCCTCAGCTCTCCAGTTCAACTCCACAAGACTTGGCAAGACTCGGTTTGAGGGGTGGAAGCTCCAGCAGCGATGAAGACAACACTTGCAGCCCTGATACTTTGCCTGGTGGTGCTCATGGCCTCCGCTTTCCCCTTTGAGAGAAAGGGGGCCTCGCCAAGTGCTGCTGCTGCCAAGGAGAAGCATGTGCAGTACGCTGCGCGGGACGACGTCAACATCCTGGCCCACGGCCTGCTGCAGCTGGGCCAGAACCTGAAGGAGCATGTAGACAAAACCAAAGGCCAGATGAGGGACATCTTCACCAAGCTGAAAGCCTTCAACCGCACCACTGCCGAGCTGGGCAAAGAGAGCCAGAGGCAGCAGGTGGAGGGGGAGAGCCTCAGGGCCCGCGCTCGGGACCTGGAGGACAGAGAGGGCCAGCTCCTCAACGTCACGGCCGAGCTGAGGGAGAAGGTGGAGGAGATGCAGCAGGAGAGAAGGACCATGAGCGAGAGGATGAGCCGGCTGGAGGAGAGGGTGGACGGCATGCTGCAGGGAGCAAGCAGCAGGAACAGCAGCGATGCACGCAGCATCCAGGTAAGACTGCAGGCCGTCTGGGGAGGAAGGGCGATGGGAGGGAGGACACAGGAGGCTTCCTTTGTGTTCAGTGCTTCCTGCTTGTATACTCAAGTGTACATTAAAATGTGCACTTTTAGAATGAAAAAGCCCAGAGGGAGCAGTGGGTAGGGAACTGTGTGCAGCACATTTCAGGGCTGCTAGACAAAGAGGCTTGTAGCATCAGATGGTGGAGAGAGGAGCTGCTGGTTGCTGGGACCCTGGAGAGCCTGACGGGGAAACGGGCTGACCCAGAACCAGCTGGCTGCGAAGCCCAGTTGCATAACCAGGGCTCCATGTGCAAAAAAGAACCGTCCACCTGGGTTTCATTACTGCTGCTTCTCTCCTCAGCTCATGCTGGACTCTCAGAACAGACGCATCGATGATCTGGTGGAGCGCATCAGGCTCCAGCAAGAGAAACTGGACAAGCAGAGCGTTCGCATCAGGACGCTGCAGAACCAGGTGAGCCGCGTTCACCTGGCCGGTGTCATTCTCTGAAAGCTGGGGACGATTTGTTCATGCTCTTTGGTGCTTCCTGCTGTGTTCAGATCCAGCAGCCCGGCCTGAGGCCCTCAGCCCGGGGCAGCGGCAGCACCGAGGGCCCCGCGCACAGTGACGCAGAGGAGCAGCGCGACTCGCCGCTCGGTGAGTGAAACCCCGCAGCGCCTCAAATCCCCCTCTGTTCACACTGACTTAAGTGGGTTGAAGAAAATCTGACGCCAAAACGTGGCGAACCATCTGCTGGGTGAGGACAGAAAGAAGCTTAAATCACTAACAATTAAAGTCAGTCTAATCTGCAGCCCGGAAATGGCAACAGGTTGACTTTCTGACTCAATCAACTCAACTCAGGAGGTTGAAGGTCATATTGGCTTCCTTTGATATTCTAGTCTGAACACAACCTTTTCATTTTGAGTTATTCTATAATGTCACACAAATCATCTGACTTTTGAAAAACATTTTGCCATATTTTTCTGCATTAGTTATCTCACAACATTTCACCTCAACTCTGTCATCTCACGGTCATGTAAGAGAAATTTATTATCAAATTTATGCAATTTATCCAGGCAGCTTCAAACTCCAGTCTGATATAGATCTAAATCAATCAGATGTAGTTCCTAATGGCATTTGTTGAAAGTTGGCTATCTTCAGAAACTCAGCCATTTGGATCAAGCATGTGGTGACAGGGGAGAACAACACTTCCTTTCAACACGAGGAAACCTCCAACAGAACTTTGTACAGGTTCACTTATTTTATAGACAACTTGAGCAGATGTGAAAACCGTCTTCTAGGAAGAATGGATGTTGAGTTTAGTTAGTCGTTTAACTCTCCAGTCTGTGAGAATATCTGCCTTCATCCAGACTCTACTGGGCTGCTGGAAATGGCCAAGCTGGTTTCTAAATATCCACAAGGCAGAAGCTGATCATGCCGTCCATGATAATGGTTGGGTGTAAAATAGATAATTGCTGAACCCTCAAAAGTGACCCATTACCATGTTCAGCTGTAGAAAAAACACCCTAAACTATCTCTTTCCAACTTGGAATTTTATGACTTTTCCTAAACTGACCCGTCATCAGAAAAAGTGATACTTTGTTTTTGTTTATATTTCCATGTGGGCTGAACACCACCAGGGTGCAAGGATTGTCTTATGGTCATTTTGGACCCATGAATTAAAAAACCAATTAAACACCAGAAAAAGTTCAAAGCCACACGCAAACTCTTACCCAATACACACAGACACACACACACACACACACACCTACACACACACACAATACATAATACAAAGAATGTATAAATACATTCTTTTTATCATTTTTTGTTTGTAGGATGAGCTTGTCAATGGAACATTTATATCTTGTAATTTGTTCTTTCTGAAATTTTTAATCTGTTAAAAATTGTAGGCCTCTGCATCTTTTGAACTCTCTGATTGAAACACATGGTGAAAAAAATTAGTTGCTCAGGGCCCAAAACAGACGTTCAGCTTAGTCTTCAGTCATATAAGAAAAAAGTGCATTTAAAAACACAAATGAAGTGAAAACTGGAATTCAAGCTATTAAAGAGCAGTAAAACTTGACTTAAAGTCCAAACTGAACTTCAAACTGCTTCTAGATGTGAATTAGGTGAAAGGTAATCTGAGGTCCGCCACACATCCCAGGAATACCACAATACTCTGACATCAGCAGTGCTTTGTGAATGAGGGAAAAAATGGACAAGTTTTCCTGGCCGAGTTCCAGCTAGGAGAAAGTTCAGCGTCTCAGAAAGTATCCTGTCAGGGTCAAGCAGCTTTGGTGGATTACTCAGAGCCTGGGAGACTGCCTCCATCTCCAACACTCTGTTTTTACTGATAACACTTCCCTCTGAGCCAAGGAAAGAGGATGAAAATGGGGAAAGGCTGTCTAAATTTATCTGTGAACCTTGCATAGATACCCTCCACATTGTTTGGAAGACACTTGACTCCTCCCACTTTTTATGGCATCAGGCTCAAAAACAAATGTTTGGATGTTCCTCATGAGTGAGCAACCTTTCCCCTACATCCACACCCCCTCCACCCTTACGCACCCCGCACCCTGAACAGAGGGAAAACTGTCCTTTTCTTTGGAAATGTGCCAAAGCTCAGGAGATCCCCCTGACCCACAGTCAGGCAGCAGCCCCCAGAGTTTGCTCCTTTAGAGTAGAGGTCAGAGGTCTATGATTGGCGAGGCAACATTCCACCAATCACAATCTTTCACCTTTATTAGACTTTTTAAATATATACTACATTTTCCTACCTGGTGCCACTTGCATATTGGCAAGCTGTTGCCTCCTTAGGCAAATGAGAACTTGCAGCTCCAGACTTTCCCCCACCCTCATTTCTAGATGCCTGTCTCCCTTGAAGAAACATCCCCATCCCCCTCAAAACCTACCATCTGATCACACCCCAGGCATGCAGCAGCCATGCACATCTACGTCACCACCGAGCTACTGGGCACGTGACGGAGGTGTGACAGGTCGCAGACATGGGGAAGGGGGAGGATGAGGAATGTAAAGGATGAATGGTGTGTAACCCTATAGCTTACAAGGCCAGGCAGCTGTAAAAGAGGGGAATTCTGCTTGGGAACTGGGAGAAAGGTCATGTTTACGACAGAGACACACTCATGTTTTTAATGGCTTTATCTGGTGTAAGTTTGTATCTCCAGACTTAGTGCGATAAGCTCTGCTTTGCTGACTTGGAACGATTAGTTTTATTTGCAAACACTGCTCTCCTTCAGCTGAGGATTTCTTTAAAACAGACTGACCTATTTCTAAAAGATCGGCAGAGGAAACTAATCAAATACATTCGAACAGGGAGTAGGGGTAATTTTTGTTCAAGTTTCTGTGGTTTCTCAGGGGGAGTAGAGCCTGCAACAGCTAAATGTGTTGAGCATTGTCAGCATTCCTGGAGAAACTGTAACAGCAAGATCATATGTTAGGTCAAGACATCCTGCACAGGTCACCCTGGAAGAAGCCTAAGACTAAACAGCAAGGCAATATCGAACCTGTCAAACAGTCCAGTTTTGTTGGAATCTTTCACATAACCAGAGAAAAATCTCATGGCATAGCAGACACTAACAAGACAGGCTTCACCAACATTCCTCCACGATTAAGCATCTTGTTGGATTTCTCCCTCTCTGCTGTTTCAGAAATGGCCACAGACTGTCATGAACTGTTCCTGAGAGGAGAGACCACCAGCGGGGTCTACCCCATCCAACCAACTGACTCTGAGCCCTTTGACGTCTTCTGTGAGATGACACCTGGTGAGCGCAGCAGAACTTCCTCTGAGTGCTAAGTCTGTCTCCTGGCTGATGTAACATTTGTTTGATCAACTTCTCTACGATTCTCTGTCCAGATGGTGGATGGACAGTCATCCAAAGACGCCAAGATGGCTCCGTGGACTTTGACCAACTGTGGCAGGCTTACGAAAAAGGCTTTGGCAGCCTGAACGGTAAATACTCTGTGGAATTTTATCCACTTTCACAATCCGGTGTTAGCTGGTCAGTGCGGGGTCAGGGCTGTTGCCTTTCAGTTCCTCTGTAGGCCTTCAGTAGCTCCAAGCACTAAGAATGAAGTCATTGAAAGATGTCAGGATCATGAGCTTTGGGTTGTTTTGGATTAAGTTTTGTTTTCTGTTCCTGTTCAGGAGAGTTCTGGTTGGGCTTGGAAAACATCCATGCCATCGCCAAAGATGGCAGCTATACCCTCAACATCAAATTCTCAGACTGGGGGGATGACTCAGCATCTGTCCGCTTCTCGTTTGAACTTGGTGGAAAAGAAACCAACTACTCACTCCTGATTCAGGAACCTGGTGCCACCGATACGCTGGAGAGTTCCCTGACCACCGACTCAGCTCTCGCTCTGCCGTTCTCAACCCGGGACCAAGACAATGACCAGAAAGGTGACATTAACTGTGCCAAACACCTCTCTGGTAAGTACTGGCACACTGTTCAGCCACCCCGACTTTGGCCAGACTGAAGCATGCTAATTAAGCTGACTGTTTTTGAAGGTGGTTGGTGGTTCAGCAACTGCGGTCGCTCCAACCTAAATGGGAGATATTTCCAGAGCCCTCCTCCCAAACAGAGACACCAAAGGAAGCAAGGCATCTTCTGGAAGACCTGGAGGGGGCGCTACTATCCCCTGAAGTCAAGCATAATGATGATTGCCCCCACCGCCATCAACAAGTCTTAAAGAGCTGAAAGAGAGAAAGAGGGAAAAAGAAGCAGTCTTGACTGTCCATTCTTTATTCGTCGCTGGTTTTTGTGGCAGACACGCCCAACTCTTGGGGTTTTTCTTTGTGAGGGGGAAACCTGACACCAGAGCCACAGTCCTGAAAGTAGAAGGACAAAGTCAGATGAAAAGACTTTTCTGTGGTTTGTTGTGTGAAAAGACAGATTCCTTATTGCTATGTGAAGCCACAGTCAATAACTGAGTCCAAAGCCAAATGTGCAGTGGAACATTTTTAATATGTTTTCCCGATGAGGTTTCATCCTGTAAACGTGAGCAAGTCTCGGCCTGTGGACTGAGCTGGGAGTCATTATGCATTTTCCAACAAGCTCGAACGCTTCACTGGGGATGAGGTGGGTTCATGCTGAGGTTTGATAATTAGCATCAGGTGCAGATCTGCTGCTTTTGTGCAGGGCATTTACACTAGTGACAGGGTGAGTCAGCAAACTCTTAAAACCACAAGCTGTGGACCAAATGACCATCGAAAACATAAACAGCAGATTTCAGCACGATGAGGCTGGAGTCTGGTAACGGGGTGAACTGTTGTCAACTAGCTTTACGCTATATTAGCATCATCGATATTACTCACCTTTCCTGCCTTTCTTAACACATACTATCTGTTCTATAGTCAGAATCGACTGAAAGTCTTCACTGATTTTTTTTTCCTCTGGAGGGTTTGATATTTAGTCATATTGACTAGTTCTTCAATAAATGGCATTGTTTTGTACATATTTGAAAAATGACTGTTTTTTAGTAAAGTATCTGTTTCTGATCTTTGCCAGTTGACTTAAAAGTTTGTTTTAAATCTATTTTTCTTATTTAAAAACCACATATCTGTTATGTGCTGCTTTCTGTCTGTAATTTATATTGAGGTATTTTTGGGGGGGAAGGGAAAAGGGAGGGTAGAAGAAAAATGACTATTTTGGCCACATTGAGCCAATAAAACTGATTTAAACAAATTTTGTTTTGGGTTTTTATTCAGTATTCATATCTGTCAACACCATGATGATCTTCACGATGCCCAGTCATTCCAGCATCTCACAATGTGTGATAGACATGAGCTGTGGTGGGTTTGGGTTGTCATTCATCTAACTAACCCAGTGGTGTCCAAACTTTTTGGCACATGGGCCAAAATCATCAAGTTGAAAGTCATTGGGAGCCACAAAAAGTTTAGCATAAATCGATGTTTAAAATTTCAAGTTGAACAAATATTCAGATTTGTGAATTTTATTGAACTGCTGGGCCAGATTTGAGAAAGAGCTTACTGTGGAAATTATCCAGGACCCCAATTTGAATTAATTTTGTTTTTAATGAATGCATGTTTTGCAAAAATTGTGCTTCACATAAATCTTGTAGGCCCAAATTAAGTTAGGTAAATTCTATAAATATATTTATGATTTTTAAGAATATATGTATAAAAAAATTCAAGTGTAGTAAAAATCATACAGTTGTCAATTTTTTGGGAAACAACATGGAGGCATTGGCTGTTAACCTGCTCATTATTGATCCAAACACACACACAAACGCACGCATGCGCACATTATGCATATATACACCTACATACACACTCACACGGTAGGTTTGTCTATCTTCACTGGAATGTTCTATTGACTTCTATTCATTTTTCATTCATTTCTATTTCTGACACTCATCCTAAACCAAACCTGAACTAAATTCACATCTCAGTCCTAAACCGCCAACCCCAAAACAGCAACACTTCTTCTGGCGTAAGGACTAGTGGTTCCACACCTGGGCCTTACACTGTATCAAATACAAATAGGCCACACACACATACGCACACACACACACACACACACACACATCCACCCCCATATACATATACACACCCCAGGATAAAAATGGCCAGTCCTGCTAACCACCGGAAGACCAGACATAAAGAAAACTAACTCTGTCTGTACCTGTGGTTCAGCTAAACTTGCCCTTATCAATTTATGTAACATCAATACAATAAATGGCCAGAAGCATCGAATAGCCAACTGATTCATTCTATACTCAATAGTTTATATTATCAAGACCACAAATATGAATGACTGGCTGTTTCATTCTCTTGTTTTGGATTGTTTTTATTCGACATCACAATAATTAACAATTTTGTCAAAGTACCGACAGGATTAGATTTTCTCACATTTTATGTTATATAATTTTATTTTCTTCAAAATATGCTTGCACGTCACTCAGTCTCACCTGGCAGGTGTCTTGCATGTTAAGGATCATGGCTGCATGTTTTTGTACCTGGAAGCAAACTAAAGCTTTAAGGTGTCAGCTTTAATTTTCAGGACTACACTTTGCACTTCTTTGCCCGGCTTAGTTCATTTGCTTCATCCACTGTGATCCTCCAGGTCACAGGATCAACCTGTGTCACTGCTTAAGATAGAGGCGGATCAGGGCTCCATCTTAAGGTTGGAGGGTCCAACGGATCACTTCAAAATCCATTTATAGCAGCTTTGCAACAACACAATGGTAGTTAGCATCTCTTCGGAGATTTCAATGTCATGATCGAAATCTCCAAAGAGATTATGAATCCAGTTATCAGGATTTAGTTCTGTCCTGAATCCTGATAACTAGCAGTTAGCTTAGCATGACCCTCCCTGGATTTGTTTGGACGTTTTCTCCTTGACGTACCATATATTTATAGTGAAAAACAATTTGTAGTAGTAGTAAAACATTAGGTGGAATTTCCCTTTAGTTATTTCCCAAATTGGAAGCTGCACTCAGAAACCAACTTCAGCTTTGCTTTTCTGGATGAGTGTTCAGTGTTTTCTCTAGTAATAGGAAGGCCACTTCTGCTTGGGTTGGTTGCAGTTCCATGTTTTCTGTTTGTGATGACATTCAGTGGTGAACAGAGTCCAAACGTCTGTAACCTTTTCCAGTCTGATAAATGTCTGACTTTGTTTCTCATCTGTTCATGCATTTCTTCACAGAGGGACACAATGTTTCTTTAGCCTGCTTCCTGCTGCCAGAGCAGACTGGGAAAGTTAATTCATTTCAAATATTTGGTTCAATGCTGGAAATTCACAATTTAAAAAGGGTGGTGATTTTTTATTTTTTTGTACTTTGTACAGAAATTGTATGATTTGTTGTAAAATTGTAACTGTAAAGATTTGTATTGGAGATAACATTTTATACAAAATTGTGTAAAAATGATAAAATGTAAAACTAATTGAAAGAGCCAGCTGTGTAGTGAATTTATATAATGTATTTGACTTGGTGAAAGTTTCTGAAATAAATAGTTCTTTCAATAACATTTAATTGTCGTCCTTGGCAGGACAATGACAAAACAAAACTCAAAAACAGAGCCCCTTAATGATCCAAACTCCAGATCAATTCTGCAGGGAGTCCTCAAAGCTCACTGAGCAGATGCAATGTTGCAAAAAGAAATGTGTAAGCATTTCTCCTCACTAATCTCAGAGACAAGTGTAGCTCTAAACACTCCTACAGGTCATTCTAAGAATCACTAAAACATGAGTGAACTATTTGTCCCGTTTATTTTAATCCATGCTAAATCATAACAATGTTACCATTAGATTTTAAATAACTGTAGAATCTGGTAGTTTAGATGTTATTACCCATGTGCTGATATACACAGTGAAACCCAGCAACTGGTTTCCATAGAACTTGCAGGTCACTTCCTGCCCAGCCACCATCTGAAGCAGAGCACACAACCACAGAGCATGTGACCCATTCATTCATTTATTCATCGTCATGTATAAACTGGATTTCAGGTGGAACAAAGCTGCTGTCAGACTCTGCTGCTCCCCGTCCAGTTGTCTTTATTGCAGTAAAAAAAAAGAAAATACCAGCATGATCAAGAGTCAAGAGGTACTTTTGGCAAATATAAATTATATATAGAGAAGGCAAGCAGACATCTTTAGCAACATAATGTGAGAGGAGACAAAGGTATCGACAAGTAGCTTCCATCAGTCGCCAGTTAGAAAAAAAAAAAAAAAAGGAATAAAAATTCATAAAAATATTTTATTCTAAACAACAAATAGTTAAAACAGGTGGACACAGGGAGAGCATTGATCTTCTTCCTTTCTCTGGTGTCATTCTGACTGCATGTTCCTTAGTCAAAGTGTGTGTGTGTGTGTGTGTGGGTGGAAAAGGAAGTGGGATGTGTGTATGTGCAGTGTGAGAGTTCATGCCAGTATATAACTGCAGAGATTCCATTTGCGTCCCACTTCCTACTGCTGAGCAGGTCGGAGAGCAGGTAAAGAAAACCACATTGGGCTGGGAAACATGACTTGGTGTGACGCAAACTGCTGATTGTTGTTCTGCTTCTAGGCTGGACTGGATGCTCAGTCCGACTGGCACAGGGGCAAAAAACAGTAGAGCTGCAGAGTGAAACGACATGAGAAACATGGCTGCTACTCCTGGGTGATAAACTGGCAACAGGAGGACACAGAGAATAAAGACAGGGTGATCTGGAGGCCCACAGTCTGGCTTTAGAGGTATTGTTGTAGAAAGTGCAGCAGCATAATCTCGTAGTGCTCCCCAGACTCGGGGCAGCGAATGCTGTGCCGCTCGTTGGGGTAGACCTGCAATAATGAAGCAGAGCGACGAGAACGCATCAGAGAGATTTTCATCTCAGCAACACAAAGCACAGCTGCATTTGTTAAACAAATACAAGAAATAAATAAAGTGAAGCCCAAGTTCAGCTCATCAAAAAGTTAGAATATTACTAGTATTTTAAAAATGTAATCAGGTTAATTGCACTGTGATTAATCACAATTATACTTAACTTTATAACCCTGAAATATAAATATGCACACAGTTGCCCTGGCTCAGCCATTCCTCCTGCTGCTCTCCAACCAATTCAAATGCAAGAAATTATCGGATTTCTTTTTTTGGAGCAGAAAGCATGTAATGTAGTCCGTCAGTATTAAACAGCAACTAATGGATCCTTACTTCACAATACATGGATACAAGCAGTAGAAAACATGTTAAGACTGACAGGTAAGATATATTTTCTGGGTCCTTAGCCCCTTCCCGATGACACCCTGGGCAACTGCCCATAAAGCCCTCAAACTGCTTCTGTATGCACGTTTTCAAAAAATGATTTATCGTCTCAAACCAAAACTTGTCTGAAGATTCTCAGTTTTCCAGGTTTTTATGTTCATGAATGTTGTTTTAAGTGTTCATTTAGAAACGTTCCTCTCTAATCATTCTCTCTGGAGCTTATGTGACAAAGCGGCGGTCTCTGGTTCTCATGCAGCTGAGTGACCACCATCACTCCTGCATGAGAAATGAAGAGCTACTACATGTAGATGTGAACATGCAGCTGGTGTTCAACTTTTGTTGCTGGCAGCTGTCACAGAAAACATTGCTGTCGTTTGTCACTCACAGTGCATCTGTCCCATAATGCATTGCTGTGAACGAGGTAACGCTCAGTGGGAGAGAGGCTTTTAGGTCACAATAGGTAGTTTGATTGATCTGTGTTATGTAATATTAAGATAATAAAAAATATTCAGATAAATCATGTGTGTTTGCATTTAGAGCCTTAAATATGACAAACAGAAAAAAAGGATTTCTGACCCACAAGAATTACAGTTTGGTGGCCTACACAGTTATCAGGGCATGGCCAGCAGCAGCTCATTCACATAATGGTGATGTAGCGCTAAGACATCACATTCCTTAATGAGCTCAACACAGACAGAACTAACTGATTGGGTGAAATCTCAATATCTGACAATGATTTTATGTATTAAATGTAATGAACGTGTTTTGTGTAGGCCACAGACGTATCCTTGCTTAAGGAAGCATAATAGTAGACCTTTGAAATCCTCTCTCATCAGTCTCATGCAGTGTTCATTGTGTTAAGGAATGAAGACAAAACAATGCAGAGAGATGACCTCTGACCTCTTACACCAATCACGTGGAAAAGCAGGATGAGTTTAGAAATCAGCCAATGAGACGTGATCTAAAGTTGATTTAAATAACA